TGATACAGTAGAAGCCACAATGGAAACATGTTCAATACTTATGGTACATTAACTTCAGTTATACAATAGAAGCCACATATGGAAACATGTTCAATACTTATGGTACATTAACTTCAGTGATAGGAAACATGTTCAATACTTATGGTACATTAACTTCAGTCAATGGAAACATGTTCAATACTTATGGTACATTAACTTCAGTTATACAGTAGATACTTACTCTCTATCTATAACTAAACAGGTTACACCTTGAGGATCATTAGCAATTATGTTGGCTGTCCGGAGGTCCTCTCTAAAATAAAAAACACCATCATCTCAGTAACACCACTACAAATTATGTTTATTTGATGAAAGAGGAAATATTTAAGATCAATTGAACATATGGTTTGGTTGTTTTGAAATACAAAGCTACACAACCACTAGTATTGTAACCTGATTTTTAATGTTGTAAGCCCGCAGACTTATCACGGGGGATAGGTTTAGAAAGATTAACAATTACAATTTGGTTATGTGTGTGTAGAATGTGTCTTGTATATTAGTTGAATGGTTTTAACATGTTAAAACGTAAAAAGTCACCAGCATATTAACCATGTATTGTTCTACTTCTCATGTATCGTCCTCCTCATCATTACATCATCACAGTCTGCAAGTTTTAAACTGTTACTAAGGGATGTGAGAGAAAACTAAAAAAACTATTACAAAAAAAGTTTAGTTTTAGAAAGGTTCTAAAGATTTATCGTGCATTTTAGATAAAATGTATATTTATTTTTACAAACTTAAAATCAGTATTGTTTTTAGAATTTACAAACATATTATCTTCTTAAATTGTTGAATTCCTTCCATTTGCTGTCCTCAGTGGTTTATTAAAAACAAGGGGTGTTATTTGGACGTGAAATCAACAGGGATGACCCCCCCAGCTTGGGGGGTGGGCCCAAATTGCAATTTTTGTGCAACATTTCAAGGCAGTCTGGATTAACATACATATGCAAATTATGACATGGCATAGAACCCTCAGATGAATTGGGGGTGGGACCCACACGAGGTCACCCTTCTTTGATGAATCATAAAAAAATTAGGAGTTTCTTGGGTGACAAAAATTCCATGTGTTTGATACACACACACACTCTGTCAGCTAAGTGGTAGAAATACAGAAATAATATTATTTGTAGCCTGTGTTTCATGACTTCTGATTTCACATGGAGTCAATCTAAGGGGCTTTGTATTTGATAAGATTAGTTGGCTTAGAATTTTAATTAATTGGTTTTATATCCGGAATAGTTATTTGTTAGTTACTTTAGTTTCATACACGAATGTTATCCAAATAAGTATTACTTAAAACAATAAAAACAAAATGAATTAAAATCTTAAACCAGCTACAAAGGTATCTTATATTTTTACCTTTGGAGTGCTTTTTCCCCAAAAAAATCTCCACGATGTAAGGTCCGGACAAACTTTACTTCGTCTAATTCTGGAATCTTCATAGTTACTTTTACCTGGAATTTTCTGAACCGTTATTCTCTCCAGTTTTCTAAAACTAGCACTGTATGCTATTCTAGTTATTTTCACTGAAAGTTTGATATATATATGTCTTGAAAACGATTTTTTTAAGTCAGTAATTTTATTGGCCTTTATTCAGACAGAAAGAAATTAGGAACACAGGTGAAACCTAAGAAATTTCTTAATCTGATTTTTTATTCATCCGTGAACTTGTTGCAATCCTTTAATTTATAAAATTTTAAAATATTATTCAATTACACAAATTTGTAAGTTTACTGAATATCCATCAAAGCAGTTGCAGTTACGTTTTATAACGTTGTACGTCCCGTGTTATCATCAATACTCATTAAAAGGTGTCCTAACAACTCTTACTGTTAGTTGCATGTTGCTTCACAGTAGAATAATCGTTCAAATAACAAGTGATGTAATTACTGTAACAGTTGTCTTGAGATAAAAAAAAATAGAACAAGTAGCCCTAGTGTGTGATGCAACTTGTGATAAGGTAGTACCCGTGGAAGATACAAACACAGGAAATATCAGATGGTAGTAACTGTGGAAAATACAAACACAGGAAACATCAGAAGGTAGTACCTATGGAAGATACAAACACAGGAAATATCAGAAAGTAGTACCTGTGGAAGATACAAACACAGGAAACATCAGAAGGTAGTAACTGTGGAAGATACAAACACAGGAAATATCAGAAAGTAGTGCCTGTGGAAGATACAAACACAGGAAATATCAGATGGTAGTAACTGTGGAAGATACAGACACAGGAAACATCAGAAGGTAGTAACTGTGGAAGATACAAACACAGGAAATATCAGAAAGTAGTGCCTGTGGAAGATACAAACACAGGAAATATCAGATGGTAGTACCTGTGGAAGATACAAACACAGGAAATATCAGAAGGTAGTATCTATGGAAGATACAAACACAGGAAATATCAGAAGGTAGTGCCTGTGGAAGATACAAACACAGGAAACATCAGAAATTAGTGCCTGTGGAAGATACAAACACAGAAAATATCAGATGGTAGTACCTGTGGAAGATACAAACACAGGAAACATCAGAAAGTAGTAACTGTGGAAGATACAAACACAGGAAACATCAGAAGGTAGTGCCTGTGGAAGATACAAACACAGAAAATATCAGATGGTAGTACCTGTGGAAGATACAAACACAGGAAATATCAGAAGGTAGTATCTGTGGAAGATACAAACACAGGAAATATCAGAATGATGCTGACTATTAAGACAGTATAAGCACATGATCAAGTACTGGAAAAATGTACATTTTTGGCTGTCCAAGCAAAACTCAAGTATAACCATTTTCCACTAGCCATAGCATGCATAAAAAACTTAACTTTACAAGCAGACAGTAAAAAAACACTTACCGTACCCTTGCTGATGATAAAGAAAGTGTCTCCTCGGGCACCTTGTCTAATAATATACTCCCCATTGTTGTAAAACGTCTGTTAAGTAATTAATTTATCATATTATTAAAACTTTTTAATGAATTATTATTTTTACTGCGTACAGTGATATAAACTAGTAAATTTGCCCTCAACTTATACAGGTAACGATTTTATAGAGCCAAGAACACGATGAAATGGACACTAACAGTTTATGCAAAATTATAAGAAATCAAGAGAAGAAAATATATTATATTTATTATGTTAATTTCAAAATATATTATATTTATTATGTTAATTTCAAAATATATATATATTTAAGAAATAGTTTTAATTCAATCTTTGTTAACAGTAAAGACAGGTTGACTGTTTGATACTGAACCACAGCCCCCAAAGTCTATCTGATATAATAATTGTGTAAAGTACTTTCAATCCTCATTTAAAAAGAAATGACTAAACTGGCAAAGAAAAAAAAACTCTAAGCTAAATTAATGTATATTTGACTTCACATTCCTCTAAGTAAGGTTTTAAGTGTTGGAGTAAAGGAGTATAAAAACAGTTTGAAAGCTTTAACTAACTAAATGTAACCCAGTATTATGTCATATGCCTGCTTTTCTTCTTTCACCTCGACAAAGTCAACTTGTGTGAATCTAATTCAATACCTAAAACGTAAAAAAATGCATTTATTTGATAGAGGTTGGTTAAACTACCACAATGTAGAACCTTAGATCATATATAATCTAGAAACTGGCACATATGGCTGTAAAACAAATCAT